CAGAAGCACGATCGCTCACTGAGTGCTCATCGAGCTCATTGAGCTCATTGAGCGCTCAGTATATACCCTAGATCTATCTACTGGATACAAACGCTCTCTGAGCTGCTCACGGTGAGCGCTCGCCTTTTTCGTGAGCGTAGTTTTTTATTGCTCACTCAGCTCACTTTATGCTCTTTCTCCAATCTTCGCGCCAATTTAATATCTCTAAAAGTTATTAACTAATATAATTCTTGTGCTATTGTTAATTTTTATCTTTTAGTTGGAAAGTTAAGTTATTCTTGTTTGCAAATAATTAAAAAATTAATATATTAAGTAGTTAAACATTATTTATATGTTGCGACCCGATTTCCTTCGGTCTCGCTAGCCAAAGGGGCGCTGCCGCAAATTACCTGCCAGAAGACGGTAGCTCCGCGGTATCCGCGATATGATTTCTCGACAAAATACTCCGAATGGGCGCCAGGTGCGATTACGCGCACCACGTTTCAACAACTCGATTCCCGGCTCAACAGGTATATCTCACGTGAACGCTAACTCAGGGTGTCGGTTACGTCTTTTGTCGAGGAAGGTGGGGAGGGAGCGTAGCGCAATCAACACACAATAAGTAATAAAAAATAATAAGAATGTATTTCAAGTAACATGAATCTCGTCTCCGCGGATCCAACGCAACGACTTCTCACCGCGAATCTCAAGACAGATACAACGCAAAGAGTCTAACACAAATAAGCGACACCGAATATCCGCGGCACGACTCTGATATTCGCAAGGACACGATAATATCCGCGATAACAACTCTAACATCCGCGAGACTCTCAATATCCGCAATAAACGGCGCAAAATAGTCGCGATAACATTCGCAGTATATTCGCGGTAATATCTGCAAGCGACACAAAATGTTTACGATACAACTCTACCGTCCGCGAGACTCTTAACATTCCAACGCGACATTTCCATCCACAACAAGTGTAACGCAATATCTCGACCGTACGTCCGTGAAACTCTTCGCTGAGCGAGCGCGACGATACTTGCCCGTACAAACGACGACGCAAAGTATCCGCGAAGTTCTTCACGAGTACGCGAATCTCTCCCAAAATACACGGCCCGCGATACGCTTTTCCTCGCGACACGCAACAACACTTATCCCGACACGTTCGCAACAACGCACACGATATTCAACGATATGCACCGTTTGCGGCACGCCTCAGTTCACAAACACGCAATACGATACATTAGACGCGAATTGACTGTCGGCCGCATTTGAGCTTCCGAGGAGGGCTTTCTAATACTTTCCGGGCTCTATCTCGGCCGCCTCCCCCCCCGACCACGCGTTCTATCAAAATCCCAAGGTAACCTTGAAGCCGTGCGCTAATACCGTGCGCGCGCAGCTTCTTAGGCAACCCCGCGTCGTGCTGAGACGACTGTCTGCCGAGGAGCTTAAGCGTGCGGAGCGACGGGCGACGCCGCTGCCACGACAGGTGGCGAGACGGAGCCGGCGGAGCACACCGCCGCGAGCGATTAGCCATGCGGTAGTGCGCCAGTCGGTGCAATTGGCGGGAGATGCCGGTCAGTGGGGCACTCCAGCGGAGAGGAAAGCGATCCGGCAGGCCGCAGAGGCGTTCGATTGCGCCTACTAGATCCAGCTGACCCGGGTCACCGTCCAGGAGACGGTGACGTTGACGGCGGTGCCGCGTGGAGCGGCTCAGGACGAGCGGGACGAGCCCATCTACAGGGGAGGAGACCTCCGGGGACGAGGGAGACATCCCCACTATAAATTAAGTTGCGCGAGCGCTTCGAGGACGGAGTTACATAGGGAGCCGAAAACCCTTTTTTTTTTGTTTTACCATTCAATTACATATGTATTTTGTTTTTCTCGTTTCTTTGACCGTAGAGTCACATTGATCAAGTTTATCCGTCCGGCGCAAGTAGTATTAAGTTATGCGACAGCGGTCGCCGAGCAGCGGCTCACGTAGAAGTTAAGTCCTTTCCTCCCGATCCACATCATTTGATTTTTTTTCGGCATGACGATGCCCGGCCCGACTGGGAATAGATTTTATTTTGTTTTCGGATATGTGCGTGGATCGCGGTAACGCACACTTTAGTTTAACGGTCGAGCCACATACAATCTTCAGAGCGCAGGCACCAAGTGCGCAAACCGCGTGTGCTGCGCGAATAATAATAATTTTGCCGACTCACGAGGTCCCCAAGAAGGGGCATACGCGAAAGCGCCGCGATCCGAACACCCGGACATGTAGTTCGGGCGACAACCCGCGAACTCGCGAACAGACGTCATCCTCGGGAAAAGGCCGAAGATGCGTCCAAAGGGAGACCCGACAGACCCTAGGAACCGAGCGTGGGCGAAATTCGACCACCCGGACATGTAGTTCGGGCGACAACCCGCGAAATCGCGAACGGGACGCCATCTCGGGAAAAGGCCAAAGATGCGTTCAAAGAGAGACCCGACGGACCCAGGAACCAAGCGCGGGCGAAATCCGAGCACCCGGACAGGTAGTTTGGGCGACAACCCGCGAAATCGTGAACGGACGTCATCCTCGGGAAGAGGCCGAAGATGCGTACTAGGGGGAAACCTAGTACACCCGGGGGACAAGTCGCGGTCGAGATTCGACCCCGGACGGTGAGTTATGGCGACAGTCGCCGAGACCGATAGACCCGGACGTCGGCTACAAGAACTAAGTCCGGAATATCATTGATAGGGACCGTGGGAACAAGCAGCGGGGGTCGCCGCCATCGGCGGACATGACAAAAGCGATTTAGACGTCGTCTCCGAGAAGTCGACCCGGAATCGGCATTAGGGACGTAGGAGAGGACGTGCGCACGGGTCGGCGCCCTCAAAAGGCGAAATTTCAAGGGGGTGAAAAACCACTACCCGGGAGCCGATTAAGCGTATCGCAAATAGTGTTACTGGCGGCCGAAATTTCCATCCGGAACATCTGGCGCGCACCTGGCGAGCCAGAACTCGTAAACACCTATTGTGTATCTGCGTAGCGTGGAAAATTACCGCGAGGAGAAAGCGGCCGAGACCCCATGGTGGGGGTAAAACTTCGGAGGTAGGGAGCCCGAAAGAGGAAAATTTTTCGAGGCAGTCTTTCGTGGGCGCTCGTATAGGTAACATCCTTCTCGCGCGTATATCTCGGCGTGTCGCAGTAACTATCGCGAATACGTACCGGATTACGATTATAAGTTTACCACAGCGTCCGAAACAAACGGGAACGCCCGCACATAGCGTTACATGACGTCGATACGAAAGGCGTACCGTTTTTCGCGTACTAAAAACGGGAAATTCGCACTTTGCGAGACGTGCGACCGCCATCTTGCGCGGCAACAGTAATTGTAAATCACCACCATTGTGAAACGATAGTTAACAATAAATGAAATAATTATTTGTGAAAATATATACGAAGATATCGGACTTCCGTTTCCGGCACCTACGTGAGTGACACGTGTTTGAGTGACGAGAAGAAAACCAGAGAAGGAAGAGTGTGAGAGGGTATGTGAGAGGGTGGTGAGTGGGTGAGAGAGAGAAGTAGAGGAGCGAGAGAGAGTGTGTGAGTGGACGCAGGTCAAAGGGAAAGGATAGGGTTAGATACGGAGAAGGAAAAGTGACAGTAGAACACGGTCGGATAAGTAGGCATAGAATAAAACAGAGAAGAGGGGCAGTCGCGCTGTCGCGGCGACACGCGTGGGAGCATAGGCAAGTTCGAACATAGAAGGGAAACTCATAGAGGAATAGGAGAGCAGGGCAGATAGGTATAGCTGAAGGAAAATGGCGGAGGATGAAGGAAAAGTAGCAAGATTGATAGAGTTAATTGGGGAAGATCAGGAGAAGGGAAAAGGGGAGAGAAGAGGAAGTACAGGCAGTATAGAATCAAAGAGAAAGAGAGGGGAAACAGAAAGCAGGGAATCCGAAAAATGGGCTTTTAACAGGAGTAAGAAAGTGCAGAGATCACCGAAGAAAATAGATGATAAGGAAATTACAGGAGATGAAAGAAGCTGGATAGAGGAGATAAAAAAGGAAATAAAATCCGAGATGAGAGAAGGCATAAAGGAGATGCTGGAGATAATGAGGGAACAAAAGAGAGAGATAAGACAAGAGATGGAAGACTTAAAAAGAACCATGGAAGAGAGAGAGGAAAAATGGATGAAAGAGAGAGAGAAGATGGAGAAGAGAATAATCGAAATGGAGAAGACGATAACGGAAATAAAAGAGAAGGGATTAAGAAAAGAAGAAGACGCAGGAGAGAAGGGATTTGAGAGAAAACTAAAAGAAATAGATAAGAAATTAGAGATGAGAGAGAGAGAGAAGAAAGAAGAAAAAACATAGTCATAAGAAGAACAAAAGGAAAGAGGAACGATATAGAAAGGGAGGTGAAAGAAATACTGATGGGGATCGGAATAGAGACGGAGGTAAGTTGTAAAAAGGTCATAGAGGACAAAAGAGAAGGAGGTATAAGAATGGCAATAATAGGCTTACAGGGACTGGAACAAAAAAGAAAAGTCATGATGGAGAGAGGAAGACTAAGAGAGAAAGGGATAGGAATAGATGACGACTTGACATGGAAGGAGAGGAAGATGAGATGGAATATAGAAGACATTGCAAGGCGAGAAAGAGGAAATAGTAAGAGAGTAAAGGTAGGATATGGAAAGATACAACTAGAAGGAAAATGGTGGAAATGGGAGGAAGATGAAGAGATATTAAAAGATAACGAAGGAAATGTGTGGAAGGAAAAAAGGGAAAACTAAGAGAGGAGGAAGATGGAGGTAATAAAGAAGCAGGAGACGAGAAAGACAAAGAAGGCAAAAATGAGAATGAGGAAGAGAACTTGGGAGGAGGGGATGGAGAGGAGGATACCGAAAATGGAGAGCGAGAGAAAAGGAAAATCAGGAGGGAGGAGGAAATGTGGAAGGTGGCTTTCTGGAATGTGGCGGGCATAGCAAACAAGGATAAAGAATTCTAGGAAGCGATAAAGGAATGGGATGTAGTGATAATGATGGAGACATGGTTAGATGAGAAGGGGTGGGAAAAGATGAAAGAGAAGATCCCAAGAGAATACAAATGGAGAGTGCAGATAGCGACCAGGAAGTACAAGAAAGGAAGAGCAAGTGGGGGTATGCTGCTAGGAATACGGAAGAAAATAGAAGAGATAAAGGAAGAAGGAAAGTTAGAGGAAGAGGAAGGAAAGATCGAATGTAAGATAAGGATAGAAGAGGAAATATGGAGAATAATAGGACTTTATGTGAATAATGATATAGACAGGAAGCTAGAAGGGCTGAAAGATACGACGGAGGAGGGAGAAAGGGGAGTAAGAACTATAATAGGTGGGGATTTCAATGCGAGAACGGGGGAGGAAAGAGGTTGGGAAGAGGAGGACGAGGAGGGAGTGGAAGGTGGAGGGAGAAGATCAAAAGACAAGAAAATAAATAGGGACGGAAGAAAGTTATTGGAATTCATAGAGGAAAGAGGTTGGATGATACTAAATGGAGGTGTGAAGGGAGATGAGGAAGGTGAATTTACGTACACAGGAGGGAGAGGAGAAACAGTTATAGACTACGTGATAGGGGAGGAGGAGGTTAGAGAAAGGGTGGAAAGGCTGGAGGTAGGAGAAAGGGTGGACTCAGATCACCACCCAGTAACACTATGGATGAGGGGTAAACTTGAGAAAGATCAGAAAAAAAGAGAAGGAGGAAGAGTAAAAAGAAGAGGAATATGGAGTGAGGAGGGAAGGTCGCAGTTTAAAGAGAGACTAGGAACGATAGAGGGAGGAGAAGGAGAGGTGCAGGAGGAGATAGAAGTAGGGATCTCAAGAATAAGAAAGGTAATAGAGGAGAACGAAAAAGAGGGAGGAAGAAGGGATAAGAAAAACGGAAGAGGATGGTGGGATGAAGAATGTAAGGAGAAGAAAAGAGAGGTGAGGAAAGAGCTGAGAAAATGGAGGAAAGGAAGAGGAGAAGTGGAAAGGTTCAGAGAGGAAAGAAAGGAGTACAGAGAAATGTGTAAAAGAAAGAAGAACGAGGAGAAGGAAAGGATGATAAGAGAAATAGGGGAAGCAAAAACGGAAGGAAAGGTGTGGGAGTTGATAGGCAGAGTAAGAAAAAGAAGGAAGAGGATAAATGAAGAGATAAAGATGGAAGAATGGAAAGAGTACTTCATGGAACTAATGGGTGGGATGGAGAATAGGGTAGTGAAAGGAGAAGGGGGAGGGAGCAGACAAAGAGAAGAGGAGATAGAGTTGGAGGAAGTAAGAAATGTAATAAAAAAGTTAAAAGCAGGAAAGGCGATAGGAAATGACGGGATACCGAACGAGGCGTGGAAATATGGAGGAGAAGAAATGGAGAAATGGATATGGGAAATTTGTAAAAAAGTATGGAGAGGGGAAGGATGGCCGAAACAATGGAAGGAAGGAGAAATAGTCCCAATAATAAAAAAAGGAGAAGGACGAGGGGTGAAGGATTATAGAGGAATAACGATAATGTCATCAATGTACAAGATATACACAGCGATATTGGCAGAAGGTTAAGGAAGGAGGTTGAGACAAAGAATTTGATTCCAGATAACCAGGCAGGATTCAGAAAAGGGATGGGGACGATGGACCAGATATTCGCGATGAACTATCTGGTAAATAGACAATTGGGTAAGGAGAAAGGAAAGATGACAGTGTTTTTTATAGATTTGAAGGCGGCCTTCGACTCAGTGGACAAGGAAGTACTAATTAGAGCGATGATAGAGAGAGGAGTGAGGCAGGGTTTAATAGACAGGGTTAAAGAGGTATTAAGAGAAACGAAGAGTAGAGTAAGAATAGGAAGAGAGTGTGGAGGTGCATTCTGGATGGCGAAGGGCGTGAGGCAAGGATGCCCATTGAGCCCGATACTCTTTAACATACTGATCGCGGACTTGGAAGACTACATGAAGAAAGGAGGATGGGGAGGTGTGAAGTTAAGAGGGGGAAAGATTTACACGTTAATGTATGCGGACGATATAGCGCTGATGGCAGAAGAAGAACAGGACATGAGATCGATGATAAGCAGGCTAGAGGGATACTTGGACAAGAAGGGACTAATATTAAGCATAGAGAAATAAAAAATAATGAGATTCAGAAAGGGAGGAGGAAGAAAGAGGAAGTATGATTGGAGATGGAAAGGAAAGAAACTAGAAGAAGTCAAGGAATTTAAATATCTTGGATATACGTTAAAGGAAAATGGGGGGCAAGAGGCGCATATCAGAGAGAGAAGAAGGAAGGCGGCGAGAGTAATGAGGGAAGTGTGGGGGATAGGGAAAAGAATGTGGAAAAAGGACTGGAGAAGAAGGATCTGGCTGTATGATACTCTGATATGGACAGTGATGGGATACGGGGCAGAAGTGTGGGGGTGGAAAGAAAGGGTGGAGGTAGAAAGTATACACGAAAGATATATCAGATGGATATTTGGGCTAAACTGGAGGACACCCGGATATATGGTGAGAGATGAAGTGGAGAGAGAGAAGATGAGAGGCAGGGCAAGCAAGAGAGCGTGGAAGTTCGAAAAGAAATTAGAGGAAGGCAACGGAGGGGGAATAGCGAGGAAATGCCTAAAGGAAATAAAAGAGAGATGGAAGAGAGGGAACATAATAGGAAAGTGGGAACAAGAAAGGAAAAGTTATCTGGAAGAGCTGGGGGTGAGAGTTGAAGAGGAGGAAGAGTTAGAAGTGGAAAATCTGGAGAGCAGAGAGAAGGCGAAGCAAAAACAAGAAAGGATGGAAAAGATCGTAGAATCGAAATACAACAGGTGGTATAAATTCATAAGGAAGGACGGGATTCCAGGATACCTAGAGAAAAACTGGGAGGAAGAAAGGTGGAGCAGGGTCGCAAGGTTCAGACTTGGGAATGAAATAAGGGAAGGATTGCATTGGGAAAAAGAGGAGAATAGAAGGTGTAGGATATGCGAGAGGGAGGAGGAAACTTGGGAACACATATGGGAGGAGTGTACGAGATGGAAGAAATGGGATGGAGAGGGGTGGCAGGACGTGGTGGAGAATTTACTAGGAGAGGGGGGAGAGGGAGAGGAATGGATAAAAGCGATAGAGGAAAGGAGACAAGAGGGAGGGAGGAGAGGGGAAGTGATGGATAAGAAAGCAGTGTGATTGTGACGTATGAGAGAAAAATATGAAAGGAAAGAAGCAAAGGAAACAGAAGTCCAACTCAAGAAATAGAATTAGAGGCAGGGAAAGGGCGGAGTAGGGTAGGAGAAAACAGTCGGAGAAAAAGAGCCCGTAGAAAGAGGCTAGGACTGACTGAAGGAGATGGTAAAGGCAAGGAAATGGCACAGGAGGCGAGAAGGAAGTAAGGCGGATACATAACGCACGCGTTGCAAACTCACCGCAACGTGTGCGATGGACGGACGGCAAAACAAGAGATGGAAGTCGGCAGAACAGACCGACGTCGCCGCAACGTGTGCAACGGACAGGTGGCAAGAACGGGAATACGAGAGAAGGGATAGAAAGTAAGAAGGGGAACAGGTAAGAGACGCACGTGGCGACCGAAAAGCGAGCCGCGTGACGATACACACGACTAAAGAAAAAAAGGCTGCAGTATAGAGAAAAGCGATTGCGAATAGGGTCAAAGACACCGCAGAAGGAAAGAGAGATGGAAGGAAGCACGAAGATCAGAGGAACGGTGGAGCTAGAGGTGAAGGCGATTGAGACGGCAATGGAAGGAAGGACAGCGAGGATGATGAAGAGCATTAAGCAGGAAATGAAAGAAATGAGAGAAGAAATAGAGACTTTGAAAAGGAAAGTACATAAAATGGAGCAAGTTTCGGGTAAAAGAAAGAGGGACGAGAGTGAAGAAAGAGAGGAAAAAGTAAGCAGGAAAAAATGGTGGTACGAAGAGGAAGAAGATAACGAGGAGATGAAGAGAAGGAAAAACGTGATAATCAGAGTTGAGAAACATAGATGGGGAGGAACCGACGCAAACTGGAAGAAGGTGGAACAATTATTCACGGAAGGACTGAAAGTGAAGGTGGAGGTGAAGGAGGTGTTTATGATAGGACAGCGAGGGGACTGGCTGACGTTTATGGTGAAGCTGAGAAGTGAGGAGGATAAATGGAAAGTTTTGGAAGCAAGAAGAAAGGAAGGAAGCAGGATGAAAGTAAAAATAGACGAAGACAAGTCGGTGGAGGAGAGAATCAAAGCAGGAAAAGAAAGGGAATTGAGAAAGAAAAAGAAAGAGGAAATCGAGAAAAAAGAGGAGTTGACAGAGGAAGATATCGTAAAGAAAATGGAGGATAAGCTACTGATGGGATCGGACGACGACGGGGACGAGGCGGACCGGGGGAGGGGAATGGGGAGGAGGCAGTGGAAGGGGTAGGGAGACAATCAACAAGAGAGGATCAAGGAAGACGAGACAACGAAAAGGATTGAAGAGGATTATGCTTATGTATTAATTATATGTATTTTGCTGTATTTTTATGTAAAGGTTTAGGAACGTTCCTCAAAAACGCCCTTTAAGGCTCCTTTGGGGCAAATAAAGTATCGTTCGTAATTGTAATATACGAAGATATCGATTACTTACCTTCAACTTGCCTGAACAAGCGGGTGTCGTCCATCTTGGGTGTTAGCGGTGACCTGGCTCGAAAGTCATCAGTGCTGCTGCATCAGAGGAGGCCATAGATGAAGCAACCGTGGCGGAAACCTGAAAAGAAACGGCATTAATCATAGTTATCACGACAATTCCCGTACTTACCTTTGTCGCGACATCTTACATACGCGGTGATCCTGGACGGCGGTGAGCAGCGGTGATCCATGACATCGGCGGCGGAGATGAAGCATCCATAGACAAAACCTGAAAATAAAAAAGAATTAGTTAGGTTAATTAACCCTAATGCTGGGACTTACCCGATCAAGCGGTTGTCGCGCCATCTTGGTTCCACGAGTGAGGCAGGCTGATGATAGATAGTGGAGGCTCGAGGCGGGGCGATACAGATGATGCATCCGTGGCGGGAATCTAAAAGGAGAAAGGGTTAAGGAGATATTAACACGTATATACCTGATCAAGCGGTTGTCGCGGTAACCGATGTCCCTGGCTGGCCGTTCAAGGCCATACCTAGCGGTATCTTGAGTACAGGCGATGCTGACGAGGCATCCGTGGCGGGAGCTGAAAATAAAATTATTTAAACAAATTGTTCAACTATAGTGTCGTTTGCATTACGAATACCTACCTTCTCGGTTTAAGGTTAAACCGAGTGGCGACCGATGACTTAGAGGACAAAATCGCGTACCCCGTAGCCCGATTGCGTATCGTTCGGTTACAACCTAACCGGCATTTGCACAGTAATCTGACCAATCTATACGATAATCTAATCGGTATGGGCGGCTAACAATATCGGGTCTTGGCCAAGATCGAGCCCTAATTACCGCGGTAGTACCGGAGTGGAGATCTTACAAATTCGCTGCTGCTCGGCGGCGTCGCACAGTGGGGCAAAATAGCACTTTTTCGTTCAAAATAACTTTTAACCGAAAGTATACAACCGATTTTAATGTTCAGGGTTAATAAATTAAAACTTATAAAATTCCTCAGAAATTTGTCATGATCGATTTTTGATAAACGTTTTTTCTTTTTTTTTTATTTACGTGTAAATATGAAAAAACGGAAATGTTCGTAATTTCAAGATCGCGATATACATATAAACTTTGAACAATCACTCGAAATTTTAAACAATTTGCTACAAATTGATATTTAATTTAAATTTACAAAAAGAAATTAATCGAATGCACCAATGTGTGTGCAGAACATATATTACTCTGCGATTAACAAGTCCTGGGCTTCTTTATCGATAATGCTATCCTTAGTTTTTCAATTTTTATTTTGTCCGATGCTACCTATAAATGGGTCAGAAGAAATCAATAATTTATGTATTATGTCAGCATTAGTAGCACCTCGATTACACTTCCGGGTATTATATTCGCTCACGGGACCTTGACGTGTCAACATCTCTCGCGTGTCGCTCCTGCCTGTTGTTTGGGCCTAGCGGAGTAAGCATGTGAAATCGGCCCTTGATCATACAGAGCTGACATTAATGTCACAAGTTAGTACCAATATGATAAAACTTTCCGCCAAATATTATTTAAAAAAATTCATTTTTTTAGAAGTTATGCAGGGAGAAAGTAAAATAAAGAAATGTATTTTTCTCGAAAACCACTTGACCGATCTTGATGAAAAAAATATATGTTATGTAGACTAATAAAACTTATGTAGACTAATTAACAAAAAAAATGTCCAAAATGTTTGCCCAAAAAAAAAAACCAAAAAAAAATATTTGAATTTTTTAATATTTTTTTTTAGGGTAATATTTTTGAGGTACCCCTTTGAAATTTTTACGAAAATTTCTCTTAAAGTGTCCACTACAACATATATTTTTTTCAATTTTTTTTAAATGGTGGAACATAGTTAAAAATACGAAAATCGTAAGCGTCGCGTCACTCCGGCGCACAGTGCAGTGCCATTCCGCGTTGCGGGTGTTCGATGTAACTTTAATAGCACATATA